GCCAAGGCCACTTTTGATGCCATTTCCAAGACCTATAGCTATCTCACTCCTGATCTCTGGAAAGAGACAGTGTTCACCAAGTCTCCTTACCAAGAATTCACTGACCATCTTGTCAAGACCCACACCAGAGTCTCTGTGCAAAGGACCCAGGCTCCAGCTGTGGCTACAACATAGGGTTTTTATACAAGAATAAAGTGAATTAAGTCTGTTAATGATTGTCTTTTTCTTTCTTTCTTTTTTTGACTGGGGCTGGGTTTGAATCCATCACCTCTGGTTTAAGGGACCAGTGCCCTACTCCTTTGAGCCACAGGAACTGCCCAGTTGTCTTAAAAGTGGGATCTAAGTGTCTCGGCACCTGTAGCTCAAGCAGTTAGCCAGCCACATAAACCTGAACTGGTGAGTTCAAATCCAGCCCAGGCCTGCCAACAGTGACAACTACAACTAAGAAATAGCTGGGTGTTATGGTGGTTCCCTGTATGTAGTCCCAGCTACTTGGGAGGCTAAGGCAAGAGAAATGCTTAAGCCCAGGAGTTGGAGGTTGCTATGAGCTGTGATGCCACTGCACTCTACCTAAGGTGACAGCTTGAGGCTTTGTCTCCAAAAAAAAAAAAAAGACTTTAAGATGAGGAATTAGATTGGGGGGGGGCGCTGGAGATTACACAAAAGGTACACAAGTAGATTGTATCACTTTATTAATAGTTATATAAGGTAGGAATGCACAGCTGTCTCAGGCAGCAGCAGCCTCTTTCGCAGCCTTTCTCTCTGCCAGCATCCTTTGCTTCTGTTTTGCCAGGCACTTTCTGGCAGAGTAGTGGGCTCCCAGGTCATGATCTGTAAGAGATGGAAACAAACCAAAGTGTCTACATGCAGAGAAAAAGTTGGTGGCTAAGACCAAATAGACATGGTGCACCTTCCTCCACAACAGACGAAGCTGTGTGGAGCCTGGACAGACTACAGGGGAGAGAGATGGCAAGAAAGCAAGACTCTGTGCCAGGGTGGGGCTTACAGCGGTCCTGGTAGGCCTTGGCCACTTTGGTGAACTGCTCCAGTTCATTGTTACAGTTCTGCTTGTAGTTCTGTCCTTCTCTCTGCTGACAGGCCTTTAACCTCTCTTGAATAATATTGACAATTTCCTGATCGACTTTGCTGGGAGCAAAAAGGGAACAAGAGGGTTATACATAAGGAATTTCTTCCCTGTACCCAGGCAGAGTAGAATGAAAGGTCCTTAGAGCCCTGTGGTCAGCTTCCATATCACCCCCACTGTCTGGGCCAACCCCAGGAGGTATATTCTGGTTCACTGAGGCCATCCTTTGTATCCCCAAGGGTTGACCCAGCAAAATGCACCATGCAGGTCTCCACATTCCCTCTCATTCACATACTAGTCTCTTCTCCATTGCATTTCAGCCTCAAACATGCACAAGACGTCCTTCTCCTTGCACTCTGTGATGTCTGGCACACGGCGGAACTGGCGGTGGTAGTAGTAATACCTGTTCTTGGCGTGCTGCTGCTCTATAAATTCTGCAAAGACAAAACTCCAGACTCAAGAGCTCCATCAGTTTGGACAGGCTTTTAGCCTTGAGAGGCAGAGGCAGGTCCTCATTTACAGACAGGTACCCCATGGTGTAGGCAGAGACTGTAACAGGGAGCCAAACAAGCAAAAGAACATCCCCTGTCCTTCAGGCCTCAGCTTCTCTGGTATAAATGAAAAAGCTAAATTGAGAGCTCAGCCACCAAGACCCATAAAACACTAAGACACTGCAACAAGAAAGAGGGAGTTGCACCTTTTCCAGATCCTTGGAGGTTTGATTTGCAGACTTCATTCCCCCTAGTGAAAAAGCCACTAGACTCTAGTGACTAGATCATGCTATACGTCCTGGATGTTTTTTCTCGAAAGAATGGGTTGATTAATTGGATGAAGCACCTGACTCTAGTCACTGAGGGCAGAGCGAGCTCTTGCTGCTGCCACAAACAACAAAGAACTGTATTGAACATTCTCCTGATTCAGACCAGAGATGGCAATTTGGGCACCTCGGCCAGCACCCCAACAGCTGGTCATTTTGCAGGGAGACGAGTCTAACAAGCCCCACGACTCAGATGGTTCCGACTGCAAACAAGCCATAAAATCTGACGGAGGCCAGAGGCCAAGGGTGCAACGGAAGGCCAAAGGAGGCGGTGGAGCTTGGGGGATCTCCGCGAGGGGGACTGGGGGTGAGGGAGAAGGAGGCCCTAGCGTGACGGGACCCGGGATGAGGTGGAGTATTGGGGTACAGGGGCCTGCGGCAGGCGTCAAGGAGATACTGGGGAGCAATGTAGCCCGGGGTGCGCTGGGGGATCCAGGCAGGGTGCCGGGGCCCAGGTGTCTCCAGAGGGCGGAGAGATCCCGGGGACTGGCGTGGCCCCCGGTGCGGGCTTCGTACCTCTCACGAGAGTCACGGGTCGGTCCACGAGGAAATCGAAGGCCTTCATGAAGTAGACGATGGGGTTGGGCACGGAGGTCTGCGGCGAGGGCGCCGGCGTGCGACGCGGGGGCTCGGGGTATACGTCCTTGTCCCAGCTGTCCGGCATGGCGGCGGCAGGAGACGCACTCCGATCCTGGACGCTCTATCCTAGCCTCAGCTTGCGTTCGCACCCGACCGCCAGCTCTCTTACACAGAGGACGCCCGCAGAGGTTGCGCCTGCGCACTGGCGGTCGTGGCCGCGGGTCACCCTGGGACTTGTATTTGCCGGCCTTGGACCTGCCTCTCAGCAGCAAACCCCTGCGTGAGGCTACGGCGCCATCGCAGCCGCCTGTTTCGCAATCTGGGCCGCACCTTCTCCTGACCCGACGTTGCGCTGTGAAAGTAGGGGCAATGTGCCGCGCCCGTTCGGACGCTCGGGGTACAGTCCTGAACCACGCAGAGGTCTCTGCTTACATTTACGAGGAGACGGAAGATACGCGACAGACATAATAACTGAACAGTTCACGCCCTTCCTGCTGAGTACCAGGGCAGAGGGTAGATTTAACAGCCTGACTCTGATGGAGAACACAGGCGGTAGAGCACGCACAGCGAATAAGCCGACGAGTAACGCGACATATCAAATGACCTACTCCAGGAAGCCTTCCTGGATTGCCCAGTCCCTACAGGCTTCTCTGGGATCCAGTCTCTCTGCCAAGGCCCCTCATGGACAAGCTCATTCTGATGAGCTTGGCGTCCCGTCTGGGGCAGGGCAGGAAGTAGGACTGGCCCCCAGGGCCCCAGCCCATTGGGAGAAGGGACTCTACCCTGGGCGCAGGGTGCTTTCTCTTGGTTCTGATGGTTCCATCCTGGCCCTGAGCCCTCTGGTGCCCTGAGGCAGCTGCCGTGACCAGGGTCCTGTTGCCTATCATCTGTAATGTTCACACATTCCCTGGCGGGTAACCAGGAAGGGTGCAGGCCCCCTCCTGCCCAGAGGCTGGGGCCAGGGACACAAGATCTAGAATCACAGAAATGTCAGATTGTCAAATTGTGAATTCTTAGTAATACAAGCCATCGGACCCAAAGAATCTTAACATTTTAGTGACATAGAATTTTAATATCTAGCAATGCAAAAATCTATGGATCCTAGAGACTTAGGTCTGTAAAACTGATTCCATGATTCAGAATTTTATAGTTACAGAGTTTTTTAATTGAAAAATAAGAGGTTTCAAAAAAAAAGAAAAAGAAGAGGTTTCAGTTCTTTTTTCATTCAAAACTTAAGGCTAAAATTTATTTTATTTATTTTTTTTTTTTTGAGACAGAGTCTCACTTTATCACCCTTTGTAGCATGCTGTGGCGCCACAATTCACAGCAACCTCAAACTCTTGGACTTAAGCAATTCTCTTGCCTCAGCCTCCCAAATAGCTGGGACTATAGGCGCCCGCCACAACACCTGGCTATTTTTTGTTGCAGTTGTCATGGTTTAGCTGGCCTGGCAGGGGTTCAGGTGTATGTGGCTGGCGTCATAACTACTGTGCTAAAGCGCCAAGCCAAGGCTAAAATTTAAATTCATAAAAGCAACTCAATGCTCATGGATTATAGGCTATTAGAGCCAGAGATCTTGATTTTTTATTTTTTTTTTTCAGATAGAGTCTCAAGCTGTTGCCCTGGGTAGAGTGCCACAGTATCATAGCTCACAGCAATCTCCGACTCTTGGGTTCAAGCGATCCTCTTTGCCTCAGTTTTTCTATTTTTAGTAGAGATGAGGGTCTCACTTTTGCTCATGCTAGTCTTGAACTTATGAGCTCAAGCAATTCACCCACCTTATCACCCGAGAGTGCAAGGATTATAGGCGTAAGCCATTGCACCCAGCCAGGGATCTTGATTTTTAACAGGCATGTGCCACACACCTGGCTAATTATTCCCTTTTTATTTTATTTTTACTTATTTATTTATTTTGAGACAGAGTCTCAAGCTGTTGCCCTGGGTAGAGTGCTGTGGCATCACAGCTCACAGCAACCTCAAACCCTTGGACTTAAGTGATTCTCTTGCCTCAGCCTCCCAAGTAGCTGGGACTACAGGTGCCCACCACAATGCCCTGCTATTTGTTGTTGTTGTAGCAGTTGTCATTGTTGTTCTAGCTGGTTCAGGCTGGGTTTGAACCCACAGCCTCTGTGTATGTGGCCGGCACCCTACCACTGAGCTATGGGCACTGCCATAATTATTCTATTTTTAGTAGAGACAGGGTCTTGCTGTTTTGTTTTGTTTTGTTTTGGTGCAATAGTCTCACTCTCTCACCCTGGCTAGAGTGCCATGGCATCGTTATAGCTTGCTCTTCGGCTTAAGGGATCCTCTTGCCTCAGCTTCCTGCGTAGCTGAGACTTACAGGTGCCTGCCCTGATTCCCAACTATTTTTTTCTACTTTTAGCAGAGACTAAGTCTTGCTCTTGCTCAGGCTGGTCTCAAATTTCTAAGCTCAAGCTCAACCTGGGGTCAGGCATGGTGGCTCATGCCCTGTACTCCTAGGACTCCAGGAGGCCGAGGCAGGTGGATTGCCTGGGCTCATGGGTTCGAGACCAGCCTGAGCCAGAGTAAGACTCTGTCTCTAAAAAATAGCCGGGGCTCGGTGCCTGTGGCTAAATTGGCTAAGGCGCCAGCCACATATACCTAAGGTGGCGGGTTCGAATCCCCAGCCCAGGCC